CTTATTTGCCTATTTGTTACGTGTTTGAATGTTAGGTACAACGTATAGGTGATGTGATGCGAGTGGGTCCTATTCTTGTGATTGTTGCTTTCTTTGATCATATTATCCATGCTTAGACTAGCTACTTGTTATGTTGAGTACTCTTATCATGTTTACGGACCTTGGTATTGATTGAGTATTGACTCAAAGTTAAGGTTGATATCGTGAAACCAAATGTTGAAATAAGACTTGTTATTGTCATTTCTATCTCCCTGTTATTATTGTTCCTTGTTTTGGTGAGGGAGAGTGTTAATGCACGAAGGGTGATGTCGTGTCATGTTTTGTGACTGATAATGCACGAAGGGTGATGCCGTGCCATATTGTGAATGTTAATGCACGAAGGGTGATGTCGTGCCATATTATGAGAGAGTTAATGCACGAAGGGTGATGCCGTGCCATATTATGAGAGAGTTAATGCACGAAGGGTGATGCAATGCCGTTTCTATTATTTTATATGGTGAGACTGAGAGTAAAAGCACGAAGGGTGATGCCGTGCAGTTTCCTTTACCGTGTTTACTTGTTTCTATTTGTTTAAGCCATATTGGTTGATCAAGTCCTTATCACTGCTTTGATTCTTTATCTTTTGATCCCCTTAGCATGTCCCCCTCCCAATATTACTTGTCTTGTTTCCTTTACTGCTATTATTGGTCTATATATTGTTTTACGGCACAGGTTTACTTATGGGTGCCTTATCTTAGCCTCGTCACTACTTCGCCGAGGTTAGGCTCGACACTTACCAGTACATGGGGTCGGTTGTACTGATACTGCACTCTGCACTTCCTGTATAGATTTTGGTGTCAGTCCGAGCTGATCTTGAGACTAGTTGCTGGCTTCATTCTATGGGAGACCCAAGGTAGATATGTCGGCATCCGCAGACCCTGGAGTCTCCTTCTAGCTGTTTCAGTTTACTGTTTCTTTTAATTAAAAAACAATTGTACTTTCTTTCAGACAGTTACTTGTACTTGATCTTAGAAGTTCGTGAATTGTGACTCCAGATTCTGGAATGAGGATGTTATGAATTTCCGCACTGTTTTAAATTGTTATGGTTTAATCGTTGTTAGTTCACTGAAAGGTTTAAGAATTTGATTAATGAACTCTAACATTGGCTTTCCTAAAAAGTGAAATGTTAGGCGCTATCACGGTCCCGACGGTGGGAATTCCGGGTCGTGACAAGTTGGTATCAGAGCACTAGGTTGCCTAGGTCTCACAATTCACGAGCAGGCTTAGTAGAGTCTGGGGGATCGGTACGGAGACGTCTGTACTTATCTCTCAGAGGCTACAGAGTTTAGGAACAATGTCACTTCTATTCTTCTCTGTCGTGCAATCTTTTTCTCTCAGTGCTAATCAAACTCTTCTACTCTTGTTCTTTCGTAGATGGCGAGAACACGTACCGCATCTTTAATTGAGCGGCAGCCAGAGCCCCTAGTGGCAGCTCCTACAAGGGGTAGAGGACGAGGCCGAGGCAGGGGCAGGGCTTAGCCCAAAGCTCGAGCTGCAGCACCAACGGCATTGCTCAGGTGGAGTTTGATGAGGAGGCTCCAGCCCAGACCATTCCAGCAGGACCAGATCAGGTCCTAGAGGAGTTCATCGCCACCCCGATACTTCGGGATGCTTTGGTCCGTTTAGTGGGCCTCATGGAGAGTGTGGCACAGGCCGGCACATTTCCTATAGCACCAGCCGTCTCTCAGGCTGGGGGAGGAGCACAGACTCCCGCTACTCACACTCTGGAGCAGATGGCTCCCCAGTTTCAGACTCCAGCAGCTCAGCCCATTGGGGTAGTTCAGCCGGGTGTTGCGGCATAGACCGCTGATGATCAGCTATGTCTTCTGAGGGTTTATGGTGACTGGATAGGTTTACCAAGCTTTTCCCAATTCACTTCAGCGGTGCATCTTCAGAGGATCCCCAGGACTATTTGGACAGTTGTCATGAGGTGTTACGGAACATGGGCATAGTGGAGACCCATGGGGTTGATTTCGGTGCATTCTAGTTGTCGGGTTCTGCCAAGAAATGGTGGAGGGACTATATGTTGACCAGACCAGTTGGGTCGCCTGTTCTCACTTGGGACCAGTTCTCTCAGATATTTCTTGAGAAGTTCCTTCCTGTCACATTGAGAGAGGAATCGGAGGCAAGTCGAGCGCCTTTAGCAGGGCTCTATGACTGTTACTCAATACGAGACCCGATTTGTGGATCTGGCCCGTCATGCTATTCTTCTGCTTCCTACCGAGAGAGAGAGGGTGAGGAGGTTTATTAAGGGACTTGCTCAGCCTATGAGATTGCTTATGGCTAAGGAGACTTGGGAGTGAGATTTCTTTTCAAACGGCTGCTAATGTTGCCAGGCGAGTCGAGATGGTTCTAGCTCAGGAGAGTGGTCAGGGGTCTGATAAGAGGCCCCGTCACTCCGGTGGATTCAGCGGTGCCTCATCTAGAGGCAGGGGTACTTTTGGTAGAAACTCGCCCGAGCCACTCTGGACCCCGTCCAAAGGTACCAACAAGTCTAAAAACATGATGCGGATGTGCTTGAACTCTCGAAACTCGAAAATCATCAACGGAACTAAGAATCGCCCCCTAAAACCAAATTGAATCAACATATGAACTTCAAGTTTTTCAAATTGCTCCGAATGCGCCGAATCGTACTTAGACTAGTCGGAATGACACCAAATTTTGCGTGCAAGTCTTAAATCACCATACAGAACCGATCTCGAAATTCCATTCGGACCTCGATATCACCAAAATCTGCACCAAACCAAATTTAAAGAACTTCAAAATCCTTCAAGAACCAACTTTTACTATTTAGCGTCAAAACGCTCCCGGTCATCCAAAACCCGATCCGAACATACGCCCAATTCCGAAACCATCATACGAACCTATTGGAAACGCCAAATCCTGATTTCGAGGTCGTTTACTCTAAATGCTGATCGAAGTCAAACTTGGCCTTTTAAGCCAACCTTAAGGAACCAAGTGTTCCGGTTTCAACCCGAACCCTTCAAAATACCGAACTAACCATCCCCACAAGTCATAAAACAGTAAAAGCATGTACGAGAAGTCTTATTTAGGGGATCCGGGTTCTAGAAAGCAAAACAACCGGTCGGGTCGTTACATCCTCCACCTCTTAAACAAACATTCGTCCTCGAACGGGTTTAGATTCATATCTGAAGTGCTGAATAAGTGTGGATATCTGCTCTGCATGTCCTCCTCGGACTCCCAGGTCGCCTCCTCGACTGGTTGGCCCCTCCACTGGACCTTTACTGCGGAAATCCTCTTGGATCTCAACTGGAGATCTTGTCTAGCAACAATGGAAACTGGCTCCTCCTCATAACCCAAGCTCTCATCTAACTGAATATGCTGTAGTCTAACACATGTGACAAGTCAGGATGATACCTACAGAGCATAGACACGTGAAAAAATTGGATGAACCCCTGATAGGTTGGGAGGTAAAGCAAGCTCATAAGCAACCTCCCCAACTCGCCTCAACACCTCAAACGGGACTATAAACCTTAGGCTGAGCTTGCCCTTCTTCCCGAATCTCATATTGCCCTTCATCAGCGAGACTTTAAAGAGAACCTTCTCACCTACCATAAATGATACATCACGCGCCTTCTGATCCGCATAACTCTTCTATTTGGATTGTGCTATGCGAAGTCAGTCCTGAATCAACTTTACCTTTTCCAAGCCATCCTTTACCAAATAAATACCATATAGCTTAGCCTCATCAGGCTCAAACCACCTGATGGGAGAACGACATCGCTGACCATATAAAACCTCAAATGGAGCCATCCCGATGCTGGACTGATAACTGTTATTGTAAGAAAACTCGGCCAAAGGCAAGAACTGATCCCACTGTCCCCCAAAGTCAATCATACATGCTCTGAGCATGTCCTCCAAGATCTGAACTGTTTGCTCTGACTGCCCATCGGTCTGTGGATGAAATGCAGTGTTGAGCTCTATACGGGTTCCCAACTCACTCTATATGGATATCCAGAAATGTGAAGTGAACTGAGGGCCTCTATCTGATATGATGGAAACAGGCACACCGTGCAACTGAACTATCTCTCGTATATAAATCTGGGCCAGCCTCTCTAAAGTATAGGTAGTTGCAACTGGAATGAAGTGTGCTGACTTGGTCAACTTGTCAACACTGACCCAAACTGCATCGAATTTCCGCAAGGTCCACGGCAACCCAACTACAAAGTCCATAGTAATGCGCTCCCATTTCCACTTCGGCATAGTCATCTGTTGGAGTGGCCACCTGGCCTCTGGTGCTCATACTTAACCTGCTGGCAATTTAGGCACCTAGCTACATACTCGGTTATGTCTTTCTTCATCCACCACCACCTATAATGTTGCACGATACATCTTCGTAGCACTTGGATGCATGGAATACCGAGAACAGTGTGCCTCCTCTAGAATCCTCCTCTCAAGCCATCGATATTAGGAACACATAGACGACTCTAGAGTCGCAGAACACCATCCTCGTCGATAGAAACCTCCTTGGCACCACCCTGTAGTACCGTCTCTCTGAGGACCATTAAATGCGGATCATCAAACTGTCGAGACTTGATCTGCTCCAATAGTGAAGACTGAACAACCACACATATAAGAACTCGACTGGGCTCAGAGATGTCCAACATTACAAGTCTGTTAGCCAAGGACTGAATGTCCAAAGCTAGTGCCTCTCCTCTGTTGAAATGAATGCCAAGCTACCCATACTCTCTACCTTTCTGCTCAAGGCATTTGCGACTACATTTGCCTTGCCCGAATGATAAAGAATGGTGATATCATAATCCTTCAGTAACTCAAGCCATCTGCGCTGCCTTAAATTGAGATCCCTTTGCTTGAACAAATGCTGCAAGCTGCGATGGTCACTGTAAACCTCACATGACACCCCATGAAGATAATGCCTCCAGATCTTAAGAGCATGAACAATTGCGGCTAACTCTAGATCGTGCATAGGGTAATTCTTCTCATGAATCTTCAGCTGATGCGAAGCATATACAATAACCCGCCCCTCCTACATTAATACACAACCCAAGCAAATGCGTGAAACATCGCAATACAGTGTATACATCCCCGAACCGGAAGGCAACACTAGAACCGGTGTTGTAGTCAAAGCTGTCTTGAGCTTCTAAAAGCTCGCCTCACAATCATCGGACCAACGGAGCGGAGCATCCTTCTGGGTCAATCTAGTCAAAGGTGCTGCAATGGATGAAAAGCCCTCACACATCGGCAATAATACCCTTCTAACCCCTGGAAACTCCTGATCGCAATCACCAAAGTGGGACGAGGCCAACTCTAAACTGCCTCAATCTTCTTGGGATCTACCTTAATACCCTCGCTTAATAGAACCCCAAGAATGCCACAGAATTTAACCAAAACTCGTATTTGGAGAACTTAGCATATAGCTTTTGTTCCCTCAAGGTCTGAAGCACCACTCTCAAATACGGCTCGTGCTCCCCCAGGCTACGTGAGTAGATCAAGATGTCATCAATGAAGACAATGACGAACGAATCAATATAAGGCCTCAACACCCTGCTCATCAAACCCATAAACGCTGCGAGGGCACTAGTCAAGCCGAAGAACATCACCAGAAACTCATAGTGGCCATATCTAGTATGGAAAGCAGTCTTCGGAACATCTAAGTCCCAAATCTTTAGCTGATGGTACCCTGATCTCAAGTCGATCTTAGAGAACACCCTAGCACCCTGCAACTGGTCAAACAAATCATCACTATGCGGTAACAGGTACTTGTTCTTGATTGTAACTTTGTTCAACTGGCATAATTAATGCACATCCATATAGTCCCATCTTTCTTCTTCACGAATAACACCGGTGCATCCCAAGGTGATACACTGGCCTGACGAACCCCTTTGCTAACAACTCCTCAAGTTGCTCCTTCAGCTCCTTCAGTTCTTTCGGAGCCATACGGTACGGTGGGATAGATATAGGCTGGGTACCTGGAGCCAAATCAATACAGAAATCAATGTCACGATCCGGTGGCATGCCTGGAAGGTTAGAAGGAAACACATCGGCAAACTCCCAAACTACTGGTACTAAATCAATCGTCGGAGACTCTGCAGTAGTATCCCGAACATAAGCTAGATTAGCCAAACAACCCTTCTCGACCATATACCGAGCCTTCAAAAAAGAGATGACCCGACTAGATGTACTCACAGATGAACCCTTCCATTGCAATCTCAGTAACTCTGGCATTGCTAAAGTAACAGTGTTGGCATGACAGTCAAGGATGGCGTGGTATCGGGATAACCAGTCCATGCCCAGGATGACCTCAAAGTCAGTCATATCAAGCAACAGGAGGTCCGCTCTAGTCTCATAACCACAGAATGTGACCACACAGGACCGATAGATCCGATCCACAGCCACTAAATCACCCACAGGAGTGGACACATAAACTGGAGTACCCAAGAACTCCCGAGGAATATCCAGGAAATGAGCAAACAGAGATGATACATATGAATAGGTAGACCCTGGATCAAATAATATCGAAGCATCCCTACCGGAGACAGAAATAATACCTGTGATCATGACATCTGAGGCCATTGCATCTGGTCTGGCCGAAAAAACATAGAATCTAGCTGAAGCACCGGGTGGCTGGCCTCCACCTGATTGAACAGTAGTTGGCTGACCTCCCCCTGCCTGGCCTCCACCTCTAGGGCAGCCCCTACCCGCATGCCCTCCGCCTTTGGGCGGTTGGACGGCTGGTGCTATAATCATCAGATGATGACCCTGCTGCATTGCCTTACCCCGAAGCCTGGGACAAAATCTCTTCATGTGACCCGGATCTCCACACTCGTAACAACCTCTCGGTACCATAGACTGCTTTCCCAAAGTCTGACCCTGATGGCCTGAATACCCACTAGAAGAACCCTAGATGGCTGGTGGGTGGTATGAACTCTCTACATGGCACTAGAAGAACCCCGATGACTCGAGTACCCACTGTAAGAACCCTAAAGAGCTGGTGGGCGGTAAGAACTCTCTGGCATAGCACTAAAATAGGATCGCATTGGAGCACACCGAGGAGGTGGTGGTGGTGCTAGATATGGGGGCCTGCTAGGCTGACTATCCCGAACTGACCTCTGCCCCCAGCTGGGGCACCTCTAAACTCTCCAAAGAAATGGGTCCTCTTATTCCGCTGTATCTGCTCTCTACCCCTCTAGAGATAGCCCTCAATCCTTCGAGCAATCTCTACTACTAGCTAATAAGAAGTCCCCATCTCAACGTCCCGGGCCATACTAGCTTTATTACCAGAGTGTAACCTTGTAACAAATCTCCGTACTCTCTCTGCGTCAGTAAGAAGTATCATAAGTGCATGGCGAGACAACTCAAAGAATATCGCCTCATAATCGGTCACTGACATCTGACCCTGCTGGAGCTACTCAAACTGACCTCGGAACTCTTCCCTCTAAGAGGGTGGAATATACCTATCCAAGGAAAGTTGTGTAAACTGGTCCCAAGTCATGGGAGGAAAATCCATTGGCCTGCCGAGAAGATAAGACTTCCACCACCTACAGGCCTGGCCCTCCTGAAAGTATAAGGGGAGGGGTGAATTGTATATTTTTTAAGTTTAAACTCTATTAGTTGACTGATTTACCAATTAGTCGACTAGATGCAATAACCTAACAGTTATAGTAGCAGAATATAAAACACAGAAAGTAAGTGCGGGAATTAAAGACACTGGAATTTTATACTGGTTCGGATGCAATGTGAATCCTAGTCCAGTCCCTTTGGGTTGCAAGGGAGTTCTCTTTAGTAAATGCGTTTCTTCGAGTACAATGAAAGTGACGTGATAGCTCACTTCCTATAACACTCGTCTCTTTTGATACAATGTCTCACCAGTGTTATACTCTCCTTTTTCTCTGACTTGTTACACAGCAGGTCTCAAAGAACTACAATGTTTGTTTGCAGTAGAATAAAGAGAGAATTTTGGTTTGATCAAAGTATGTTTTTCTAAGGCTGAAAGCTGAGTATAAATACTTTGGTGAAGTCCTTGTGCTAACGAGATTTGACAACCCAAGAGATTTGATCCTTGGAAAGAGATTGATTCTTTCCAAGAATAAGATTGCTAGCTGTTGCTCTTTCTTGATGAGAGGAGATTGATCGCCTTCCTTCTATAGTCATTGATGATGAGGTTTTAATTATTGGTCCTTCAATCATTGTCAGCTCCTGATCGCTTTCCTTCTCCAGCTGTTGGTGACGAGGATTTGCTCCTTGATTGTTAGTCTTTCCACAATTGGCAGATCAGCTACTCTTCTTATGGAATCCGGATTGAATATGCTGGCCTTGATTGTTGCCTTAAGTTTAGGCTTGCAAAGATTCTTTCCATCGTAGCTATCCACAATCTTTGCTGATTGATTTCTTTCCTTAAGCATTCAGACTTGTTTCAACAATGTCATAGTAGCTCATTGATTCCTTGATCTCTTCTGATTGATTTCCTGCACAGATATATTATTTGCATCATTAAAATTAGATCTAACAATCTCCCCCTTTTTGATGATGTCAAAATAATATATATGTATAAACACCAGTTGACTTCCCTGTGTTTTACTCCCCCTCAATGTATGTAGTTGGGGATCATGGCACTCCCCCTCAGTGCATGTGGTTGACTAGTCCATGATTGAAGGACACTCCTCCTCAGTTCATGCAGTTGACTAGTCCATGGTCGAAGTCGACTCTTGCCACGGAAGATGCTACTTGTGCCACAGTTAACTATACCTGTACAGATACAATATATACTCTTCTCCCCCTTTTTGACATCAGCAAAGAGGGAACAGACGAAGAACTGAACAGAATATATAGCACTAAACAGTAGCATTTAAAGTTCAATCACAAGCACCTAAAGCACTAGAAAACAAAAAATTGTCCAATGGCTGAGAAAATAGCCCCAAAACAACAGTACAGCAAAAAATTTATCTTAATCAACCACATTAGCGATGCAAAAAATAAGTAAGAGTATTGCAGATTGCCTCCTTCAATTGTTCAAATCTTGCATTTGCTGAGATGCTCACTCCATCCAACTTGTCATGAATTTCCCTAAAAGCTTTGACAACATTCTCCCTAACTCTGAGAATAGCAACTCTTATCTTTGACACATCAGACCCTGTTTCCTTGGAGATGGCGTGAATGTCACCAACAGTAGACTGAGTGGCTGTGAGGAGATTTTTGATTTCAGAGAGTTGAGTGGTGATGGCACGAAGCTTTTCATCAAGATCAGGATCACCAAGCTGGGATGAGAGGCAGAGGATTTAGAGTTGGGTTTTATAGGAGCAGGCTTAACTTCTCCCTCGTGCTTCTTGACCCAGGAGCCCTTCACACTTACATACCCCATACTAGCAAAAGCTCTAGAGTTGCAGGATTTTGAGATAGTGATAAAGGGATAGTTGGACAGGGAAATTTGATGAGATTCCAGAATATGAGTGATGGCCATGCCATAGGGTAGACTGGTTCAGCACTTTCAATCATGAAATTGATAACCCAGGAGGACAACTTGACTTTGAGTTTGGTCACAAGGCAGTACACTAAGAAGATGTCCCTTTGAGAGAAGGTTGAAAAAGAACCAGTGCGGGAAGCAGAGTGGTTGCCACAATGTGAGCCAAGACACGAGTTTTCAAAACTAACGTCACTGGGACCTAACTAGTTTGGAAGGAAAGCAGAGGGACACTCAGCAATACACTGTTTAGCTTGGTCAAAGGAAATTTCAAAATCATCGGGCCAGGTATTTTTGAACAGCATAGGGAAACCAGAACATTGACACTGAAAAAGTGAATCAAACAAGGCACAATCAAGAATAATGCGCTTACCTAATACTAAGGATTCCAACCTGTCAGGCTTACTGGAGCGGAGATTAGCATAAAACATCTTCACTAGGGGTTCATAGACTTTAGGCGGAGGGATAGAGAAAAACTTATCCCACCTTTGATGCACAAAGAGGTTTTTGATCTTACAATTTAGGGCTTCCATGTCGTCGAGGTCGACTACCCTTCCATGAGCAATGGGCTTGTCTTTCAGAGCAATGAAGAAATCCTTATTTGGAGAATCTCAGAAATTTAGGTCGGATTCTAGAGAGTCAGAGAGATCAATCTTTGATTTCTTTGGGGTAGAAGAAACAAGGGGGTCTTCCATAGGGCGTTTACCTAGGCCTTTTTCTCCTAAGGTTTGAGAGTGATCAGACAAATTTCCCTGTAAAGAGGCGAAACCCTCAGAGTGGTCGGACCCTAGGTCTACCTTTTCTGGAGGCATAGAAGGGGTTTTTGTTTTGGAACGGGTGCTTTTTCTGGTGGATGCGGAGGGATTTCTGGGTTGTTTGGCCATTGAAGAAAGGTGGTTTGGTTGGAGCTTTGGAGAAGGGTTTTCTGGAATACAGGGATGAAATTGATTGAAAGGGGTTCTCCGCCTTAAGAAGAGAACCTTCTAACGGTTGAGTCCGAAAAAGGAAAAAGTGTCAGTTGAAAGGACACGATGATTGGCTTTCCAACTTTAAACGACGAACTGATGTGAAAGCAGAAGAAAAGAGAGGGAAAGAAAACGGAGGCGTAATTAATGCATGAGTAAAGTACAATCATTACACCTGCAAGAAAACATTGTAGTACATATATAGGCCCTATAGGTTATTAGTTAAGCAAGTAATGCCAAGTAGTTTCCTTAAGGCACAAAACCTATCCTCTAATAGAGGCTTAGTAAAAATAACCGCTAACTGATCAGTAGTTCCAACAAAAGATATTTCTATATCTCCCTTAGGAACATGATCTCTAATAAAGTGATGCTTGATATCTATATGCTTTGCTCTAGAGTGATGCACAGGATTTTTTGAAAGACAAATAGCACTAGAATTATCACAAAAAATTAGTATAGGTTTAAAAGAGAGTTCATAATCACCCAGTTGGTGAGACATCCATAGTAATTGTGCACAGCATTGTCCAATAACAATGTATTCAGCCTCAGTGGTAGATAATGCAACTGATGCTTGTTGTTTACTGTTCCAAGATATCAACGCCTTTCCAAGTAATTGACATTTACCACTAGTGCTTTTTCTGTCTTCCTTGTCACCTGCAAGGTCAGCATCAGAAAATCCTTCTAGTTTAAAAGAGTTAGAGCGAGGATACCATAGTCCATGAGATACAGTCCCAATGAGATATCGAATGATTCTCTTCACTGCAGTCAGATGAGATTCCTTAGGAGCTGACTGGAACCTGGCACATTTACACACACTAAACATAATGTCCGGTCGACTTGCTGTCAGATATAATATAATGATCCTATCATTCCACGATATTTAGTTCATCAACAGGGATTCCCAATTCATCTTTGTCTAGATTTGTTGAAGGACTCATTGGTATGCCAATGGATTTTGTATTGCTCATGCCAAATTTTTGAATCAGTTCCTTTGTGTATTTGGTCTGACATATAAAGGTTCCTTCTTCAGATTGTTGAATTTGGAGTCCAAGAAAGAATGTTAGCTCTCCCATCATGCTCATCTCAAATTCGCTTTGCATCAGATTTGAAAATTCCTTGCACATAAGAGGGTTAGCACTACCAAATATAATATCATCACCATAAATTTGGATAATGAGATTATCTTCTGCTGATCTTTTAATAAACAAGGTAGTGTCTACTTTACCTCTTGTGAAGCCATGATTAACAAGAAAAGAGCTAAGTCTGTCGTACCATGCACGTGGAGCTTGCTTCAGTCCATATAATGCCTTAGTAAGCTTGTATACATGGTAGGGAAACTTTGAATCTACAAACCCAGGCGGTTGTTTCACGTATACTTCTTCAATAAATCCATTCAAAAATGTGCTTTTAACGTCCATCTGAAA